CACCCACTACTTCCCTCAGCAGTGCATTTCAGTCAACATACCTACTCTCCTCTCCATTGTCTCTGGTTAATCTTCTCACCTCCCCCACACACTTTCAGCTTACACCCCAGTTCCTGTATACATAAATAAAATCTTTTTTAAAAAAAATCACAGTACTGCCATTTAATAGCTGTGACAAATTACAGTAGGTCCTCAAATATTTTGTTATAACAATGACAAAAAAATCAATTCCCTCTTGGGGCCACTGTTTATGTGGAGTCAGCATGTTGTCCCCATCTTCCTGGATTTTCTCTGGGTACTCCCTCTGTTTTCTTCCTGCCTCCCAAAGATATGCATATTAGGTTCACTGGAATGTCTAATTGGTCCCAGACTGTGTGTGGTGGTGTGTACACCCAGCTATGGGTGGGTGTCCTGTCCAAAGTCTGATCTAGTCACAAGGTTCACAACCCTGCACTGGGATAATTGGACTGAACAAAAAGAATGAATGGATACAAACTATTGCTTAATATTAGAAGTATCTAGATCACTATTTAGAAGTTCGATGAGGTTTTGTGACTAGAAATATGCTACAGAAACTATCCTTATTTTAACAATCGGGCTATGGTAAATTGGTTTCAGTAGATGTTATTTTGCTAAAAGTCAGTTTCCAAGAAGGTAGCAATACACTGAGTGAAGATTTATTGCATTTAACTTTTCTAAATTTCATTTATTCTTATGTGTCCACAGATGGCAAACACTGAGTAAGTATGACTGTTCCTGTCCTTTAGGTGCCAACAGTAGGCAATACAGGAACTAAAAGAAATCAAGACAAGCAAAGAACACAATACTTATACAGCAAAATGGGTACAGAGGAAGGAAATCTAGTTTAGAGTCAAGGAATCAGCAAAATCTCTAAAAAGGTAATATTGAATCAGCAAAATCTCTAAAAAGGTAATATTAAGTCTGAGTCGTGCAAACATGCAGTGGTAGTCAGATGAGGTTACTAGAGAAAGACTGTTTCTTTAACAAAGGAGGAAGTATGGCTGGGACACAAAATAATTCATTTATTTGGGAGATACAAATAGGAGTGGAGCATAAAATAAAAATGATAAGAGATTAGGATCAACAGTCAGCACAGCTGCTACATCTGCAAAACAGAATTATTATCAATTGTTGGGTTACCTCAAAGATTAAATTATATTATATATACCTTGAGCATCATTGTTATATACCTTCACTTTCAGCTCTAGCAAACAAAAAACAGGGGCCCTACCTGGTGGTGCAAAGTTTTATCCGGGAAAATGCATAATACAGAAGAGTCCCTAATAAGCCACTTTAACAGGGCAACCTTTAAATCGCTACCTTCTCCCTCTCACCCATTGTAAGGGATGGGTTAGATAACAACAGACTCTTTAAAGCTAGTTAAATGTCTTTCTTTGATGAAAATCCTGCCAATCAGCTGTAGCTGGCAGCAGTTATATATCAGGCATGGAAAGGCCAACTGGTAGATACAAAGATTGTGCACATGTCCTTGATTTTTAAAATGTAATTTTGGCTAATAATATATGCTTATAAAATCTAAAGATAAGGCTAACAATTTATTTCTTAGCTTTCAGTCTGACTTGGATATTAATGATTCCCAATTTAAGATACAACAATTCATGCAGAGAAAAACTGCCAATACAGCTTTAGACACTACTTTTACTGACCACACTTATCAAAATGTTTTTTAGTAAATGTTACCACTTAGATCTGTTTCAATTTGCCTCAACATCAAATGGCTACTTTTGTAACTATATGAGGTGATGGATGTTAACTGACTTATTGTAGTAATAATGTCTTGATATATACATATATCAAATCATTTTCACTTTCAATTAACAATATTACATGTTAATTATATCTCAATAAAATTGGAAAAATACTAGTATAAGCAAAGGAAACATAACTTAAAATGGAGCATTCCATTAATTCTTGGTCTAAAATGTGAAATTTAGTGTGTAATGAATCAGTTTTCCTCAATTACACAAAATGTGTAAATTTCAAAACATTTAAGTCTATTTTGTTAAATACTAAACAGTGTTTCTTTTTATACCACATGTACCTCAATGAAAATATACTTTTCATGCCAAGTAGGTGTTCTGGTGAGGAACTCTTAACAATCTTAGTAACTCAACTGAGTGTTAAACACAGAAAATGTAGCTGCATTTACAATGAGGTAAATTTTGAATGCTTCTTATATACCAGTCACTGTGCTAAAGATTTTATGTGCATTATCTCCTTTAGTCCCATGAGGTTGGTATTCTTGTTATACTTATTTAACAGAGGGAAAGTAGAACTTTGGTTTTGTGCTTTACTCTGCTAAAAAAAAAAAAAAAAAGATAAATCTACTCTTTGAATCCAGAGCTCTCTTTGAGTTTAATAAAGATCCTTAACTTCATTCCTATTCAAAACCACTGTCTCTAGGTACAATAGCTCTTAATTTAAACTCTTCTGAAAACTGAGGTTATAGTACAGTGCAAAATTCATAAACAATGAATTTCCCCTTTAATATGCCAAAATAATTCTAGAACCTGAGCTTTTCTAAATCTTTCATTACTATCATGCTTTCTGCTATACCTATCCATTAGAACAATTTTTAAAAACATCAACACTATACCAACTATTTTCAAAAGCTCAGCAATACCAATCAAGTGATCCTAATAGTCTCAAACACTATCCTCAAACCAAAAGACAAATGGACATTAGGAAACTTGGATTCTAAAGTGCCACCATCCAGAAAAAATTACTCTGTGATTTAGAGTAATTTCAATCAAATCCTATAAATTGAACATTTTTCTTAAGACCAGTATTAGAGAGCAACTATAATACAGTTTTGGGGTCCAAACATTGGTATATTAAATTGTTTGCAAATGACAAATTCAACATCAAAATAATACATGTTAGGAGAGTATCAACAATTTAGAAAAATAGTAATATATAAAATTACAAAATGATTTACCTATTCATTTCATTGGTCATTCTTCTTAATACAAACCTAACTACTCTCAAAATTCGTGCTAAACATGACTATCTAAATTCTATAAATATTTATTATATAGTATCTTGCGTTCACAGTTAAGCCCATTACATACAAAAAGAAACAGCTCTGGCATTTCATAACCATTAGAAACTTGATTACATTTCCTTAGAGGGCACCTGCATTTATAACTAACAGTCATCAACACACAACAAACTGGTTTATATAAAAATACAAACCAGTGTAAATTTATACTTTGTTAATTCAGCAATTCATCAATCACTTAAAATAGACTGTTCTCTTTAAATGCAAATAGTACCAGATACTATTTTTAAATAACTGTCAGATCAGCTATTTGGTAATAAGGTATAAGATGTATTTTTAAAATAATGAGTTATTGTACTAGAGCCCATTTAATATAATGCACTTAGCAAAATAAACACACAAAGTAATTAAATGGAGGAACTATAGGCAGGAGAGAGTCTGCTTCAGTTGTATGACAGGAAGTACTTGCTATGGAAGTTTAGAAACAGGAATACCAAGTTCTGTTTTAGCTCAAGAAATAAAGGAAAGCATGCTTGCCAATAAAAGTAAAAGAGGAATTTCTTTTGAGTCAACCACCTGCCTTGTATTTAAGGCAACCCGAAATCATTCCTAAAGTTAGAAATAAACCCTCACTTTACTAGATTTACATGCTTCAGGGAGCCTGGATTTTACAGTTTTGCTCCAACACTATTTATGGTTCACACTTTACACATCCCAGGGAGATAAGGGTGACTTGTAATACTCAACATTTTCATATCTTAAAGCCTGATGATTCATAAATTTTTCAACATTACCTAAATAAATAACTTTTTAAAAATTGCGTTAACATTTCACAACAATGTGAATATATACTCAACAATACTGAAGTGTACACTTAAAATGGTTAAGATGGTAAGGCTTATGTTGTTTTTTTTTTAACTACACAATAAAGTACATAAGTTAATGAGAAATTACTCCACTTAGACATGAATAGTAACTCGTTATGTAAATTTTGATTACTCTAAGGCTAAATTCTTATGCTTAAATTTTTTAAAAAGTAATTTGTTGTCTTTAACAGCTAGATTTGTTTTACGCAATTAATTTAAAAAGGAAATACTTCCATGCATGAACAAGTTCTTTAATCCTGAACTAGAGTGAAAGTGAAGCACTATTCTCAATTAGTAATCTTTCAAATCATGTGAATTACTTCTTGCCAACAAATACTGGTTATGAAATTATAAGAGTGTTTCTACTTCAACTGATTCCTTCATTCAGTGAAGTGCAAATCTCAAAATTAAGAGTGCAAAATCCCTAAATGATTAGGCTTTTCTTTGAGCATTCATACTTCTGGATTATGGGGGAGGCGACACTCCCCACACCTTAGCCTTGAACACAAAGGTAGCCCACAATGCTATATGGTCACTCATTTCCACTCACACTACTGGCCTGGCACAGCCCTCCCAAATCTGTAAGGCTTTCGTGAACTCCTTTTAGGTTCCCGGGAGAAGAGAGTCCAACCTAGGTTGGGTAGCTCTGGAAAGGCCTGGAGCAACCAGCGTGTTTTGACCACCTCTGAGGAAAGTCTCTAGGAAAAGAAAACTGGGCAAACCCGGTTCTCCTTCACATCTACCTCCCCTCCCGAGGAATGGATGGGTTCTGGAAAGATCTACCCCTTTCCCACTCAAATGTCATTTCCAGATGAGCTGCTTGAGGGGCCAGCGGCGCTCAACCTACGCCCTCTTCTTCGAGCACCTTCTCCAAGTGCCAGCACCGGACTCACTGGAGAAACCCCCATCCAAACCCTTCCAGAAGAGAGGCCCAGGCCACGACCCCGCCTGTGGACAGGACTGTTCCAGCAGACAGTCGGGGACTCCCAGCCTGGGCGGCTACGGCAGCCCTCAAGGATGCGCTCCCGGTCGGTTGGGGGCGACGTGGGCGGGCGAGAGGGGTCTTTCGAAAGAGGGAAAGTCAGCCTCACCTTGACCCTGATTTCATAGGTGGTAAAGCGGCCCCGGCCGACCCCCACCGTCTGCGGGTTGCTCACATCGATCTCGAGGAAGTTGCTGGGGGGCCCGTAGGCGTCATTCAGGTTCTGCGGCTTGGTGATCAGCCGCCGGGTGTCCGCCACGGTCTCCGCCATTTCAGAGCTGCAGCTGCCGCCGCCTCCGCGGACTCCCTCCACCCCCTCCGCGTTCCACCGACGCCGCCGCTGCCCGCCGCGGGGACACCCGGCTCACGCGCAGCGGTCCGGAGGCCAACGAGCACGTAAGGCGGGTGTTCACCCAGAGCGCGAAGCTCCTCCCCGCGCCCCTACGGCTTCCGCTTCAAGTGCCCTGGAGAGAAACAGCTGACTAGCCGGAACGCCTCACCCGGGGCCCCGGAGGCCCAGCCGAGGCCGCGGAGGTGGACTGCAGGTTGGGTGGCGGAGAAGCAAGGTCACGGGACTTGTAGTCGCGAACACTTTCCAGCCGGACTACAGCGCCCACAATGCACCGGGCGAGCGCGCCGCCGAGGGAACGGGGGCGTGCGCTTCCTGTCTCCCTGTGGCGGGGCTCTGGAACGGTGGGAAGTGCGCCGGGAAGTCGAGGCCTGAGTACTTAGGACAAAATTGGCACCGGTGTGTGGGAAATCGGTTGGTGTTTTGTGGAACAAAACTGTCTCCACTAACTGCCAATTTATAGATGGTGTAACCGCGAAGCACTGAAAATGCCGTTTAGAGTGACCTTTGCAAATCACTGAAATGATTATGACATCGACTTGAGAGTTTCACCACACATTTCTCAACTGAAACTGAAGGCGGTAAAGTAGGAGAGTGAGATAAAAAACAGAAACCTGTGAGGTTATGCCACTGAGGTCGAACCGTTTTTTGGAGACTGGTGGGTCCTCAAAGTAGGTAGGCTGACCCTTGCCTAAATACCCTGTGTTTGGGTGACCTACAGCTTTCCCCCTTCATGTTTAGCAATGTCCCAAGTCCAAAGAAAATAAATAAAGGTGGTAAAGGTATCTCTACAACATTTGAAATGAAATTTTGGTCTTTATAACGATTTTTTTTAAAAGACGAAGGCAATAGATCATAGCTCATCTCTAGCAAATGCAGATTTTGAACATTTGCGATAGAGATCCTGTCTGGCTTCCCCGATTATTTCTGCGAATTTTTAAAAAATAAGGTGTTTCAAAAACCCCATTCGCTTTAAATAATTGGATCTTTTTTTAATTTTACCTTTTTTTAAATGAGATTTATTTGTGCATACAGAACTGGGGTACAGGCCAGAGACTCAGGGGCAATGAGAGGCTTCACCAGAGACAGAGTGGGGAACAGAATAGGCAGATTGAGGAAGTACACTGTTGAGGGGAGCAGCGGACGGTCAGGAGAGGTCTGCCACGCCATGTGGTCACCTCCGGGGCAGGCGGGGATCGAACTCATGCGGAAGGGGCTTTAGCTTCTCAGTGCTGTGCTTTAACCAGCTGCGCCACCAGGGAGGGCCAATAATTGGATCTTTTAACGATAGTTGAAAAATTGTCCAGGTCATTAGCAACCCATTCCTAGTAACAGGTGGAATAAGCAGGTTGATTATTTTTCTGAAAATTTAACATTCATTAAGTCAACAAATAGTTATTGAAGAATTAACTGGTCTTTTCATCTAGTAAATTCTGGAGTACTAGGGTAAATAAGTCTTGGTAAAAATGCCATTGAATTAAATATCTTTAACTTTTGGAGGTAATGGATATGTTTATAACCTTAATTGTAAAGATAGTAATAAGGGTGCATATTTCTACTTTTTGTATACAAATTATGCCTCAATAAAGCTAAATAAAAACAATATCCTTGAGATCATTCTTTAACTCTTCAACAGATCTGGGGCACATCATTTATGAACACACATTTGTCAACTAATCTTACTGATGGGCAGTTTGGTATTTCAATTCTTGCTATTATCTATAAAGTTACAACTAATAGACTTATGGTGTAATCTTTAACAATATCAATGTACTGGAATTAGTATTTAGATAAACTATTGCTGAAAAGAGGATTAAAACACACGTAATCCTGCTTATTACTGTCAAATTTCCTTTATAAAGGTTGAACGGTTTGTTTTTTCCTCCATTGAAGTAACTTCAAGTTATTCCAGGTTTCACCAACAATACAATTAAGTTTAAAAATTTAATTGGCTTTATTAAATGAGTGATGAACTGGGTAACATTTCATTTAGCAAATAGAAAGGTGCTCTGAAAAACTACAAAATGAAAGGTGCCTGTAGGCAGAAAGATGGCAAGGGTAGAGGGAGTTATTTCAAAGTTAAGCACTCTACCTGAGGGATGGGAGGATGGAAAAAGGCCTTATGGCAGATATCTCATCTTTCTTTAGGAAATGGAAAAGATTACCTCACTGGTGCTGACCAGAAAATTCCACACTGACCAGTTAAGACTACATTCCTGGGGAAAGTCGAAAACACTGAGGGTAGGTATTCCAGTCTTGGTGGATTTAGTATAAGTGCCTCCATTTGTGACTGTTGTTTCTTTTTAACAGGTATAATCTATCTTGAGGAGGCATAATAAATAAATCGTTTTTAAAATCAATAACAATATACCTGCCAATATGATTGGTGCTTTAAACAAAATAAAACTGGATAATGTGATAGTGACTCAGATTAGGTCATAGAAGGAGGGCAGAGCAATTCTCTGCATATGGCTGTCTTTTAAAGAGTAAGGGTAACATCAGAATAAGTATGCCTAGACAGGACTCCCTACTGGGCCTATCTGCTGCTGGAAGAGACCAAATGGCAACTTGACTGGTATGATAATAGTAAATTCAAAAAATAAACAACTTCAAAATGTAGCAAAGGAAAGCTAAATAGTCAGGAACCACTGTATTGTGTTGTCATCTGTGACACCGGAACAAAGCAATCATGGAATATTCTCAAGGAAAGCTTCTGTCTCTTTTCTTGGATGCCACTCAAAACATTCTGGGGCAGCAGCAACAGGTGCCTGCTGTCAGGAAGAAGCTAGAGGATAGCAAAGCAGCATAGCATAGTGATGAGCCAATGAAGAACTTCCCCATATAAACAAGGAGGAAAAATTTAACTTTTTAGGAGATACTGTACTTCTACAAAAATCCAAAGAGAATAAGCTACTAGAATAAACAATATAATATACTGGCTGAATGAAATTAAGGAACCTTAAATTTATAGTTTTCTTCCTTGAGGCAAAATGGAGATGAAAGAAATAACAATCAAAAAAAAAAATACCCTAGGAAGGAAGGCACAGGGTTTGTAAGTACAAAATTATAAAATTTTATTAAGACATAAATACATAGGAGGATTTTATCAGAAAAATGACAATTCATCCTAAATTAGTAATTTAATGCAGTTAGAATCCTGATGTGGTTTGGTTTTACCATCCACCAGCCTTAAGTATGTGGGTGTTTTAGGGTTCATATGTTGGAGATTAACCTAGAAGACTATGAAAATGAAAAAAAAAAAAAAAAAGATGAGATACCATTATTTTACATCCTTTTCTGTTTTCATCACAACATAGGACTTCTCCCCTCAGGTATGGTCACCATAGTTTTCCACCACCAAAGCAATCACAGTCCTCCACAATAGTCCATTATGCCTCAGATCTATGGTCTGCTTTCCAGGGTTGGCTTAAAAGGTTCTATTTGTCAGATCCTTTGCTTGGTTTCTCTATATTCCAAATATAAATAAAACCATCCAGTATTGGACCCTCCCTAGTGGCACAGCGGGTTAAAGCACAGCACTGAGAAGCTTAAGCCACTTCTGCATGAGCTTGATTCAGGCCTGCCCCAGAGGTGACCACATTGAGTGGCAGACCTCTCATGACCCCCCCCCCAATACTCCCCTCAGCAGTGTACTTCTGCAATCTGCCTGTTCTGCTCCCCACTCTGTCCCTGGTGAATCCTTTCACCCTCCCCATCTCTGGCCTGTACCCTAGTTCTGTATGAATAAAAAAAAAAACAACCACCCAATGATTTAGCTTTACCCTTCTGGCTCACTTCACTTAGGATAATCCCAGCTCTATCCATGTTGCTGCAGGTAGCATGAGTTTTTTATCTTTTTTGATCATGGTGTTCCACTATGTATATATACCACATCTGGATCTGCTCTGAGCATTTAAGTTGTTTCCATTTCTTGACTATTGTAATAGTGATGCTAATACATCAGAGTGCAGGTTTCCTTTTGAACTGGTGTTTTTGGGGATAGATACATAAGAATGGAATTACTGAGTCATATAGTAGATCCATTTTCAGCCTTTTAAGGAAGTACCTCACTTCTTTCCATACAGGGTGGACCAATCTACATTCCCACCAACAGTGCTCCTTTTTCTAAGAAAAATATCAGGTGGCTTCACTTATAGGAGGAATATAGGGAAAATGAACAAGTGGTCAGGAAAAAAAGACAAAACTATAAATTCATATTATTATAAAAAACTATAAATTCAAGACATACAGCAGGGGAAGAAGAAGGAGAGGGATCAAAACGGGTGGGAAGTGTGCAAGAGACTATGGTGACAGTTCACAAGTGTTGTGGTGCTGGGAATTTTATTGGGATTACACCTAAGGGGAAAAATCAAACAAAAATGAATGACAATGTAAAAATAAATAAAACAAACAAAAAAACAGTGTTCCTTTTTCTCTACCTCCTCACCAACTCTTGTCTGTGTTATTTTTTTATAAGGGCCATTCTCAGAGGCCATTCTCATTGTGATTTGCATTTTCCTGATGTATCAACAGAAAAAAAATTTTTTAGGTAGGATTTGCTTTACTAAATGTTAAAACTTACTATAAAGTCCCTACCTACACAATTTTTGATGCAATATCAAATAAAGAACTTTACATATAAAGAATACAGTTTATTAGAGAAAATATTGCTGGTGAAGGTGTCCAGACCAGGTCTTCCTAAGACATGTCAAACAAAAGTCAATAAAAGACCAGCAGGTTCAGAAGAAACTTTTTTTAAAAAGATTTCTTTATTTATGCATACAGAACTGGGGTATAGGCCAGAGGTGCAGGGCTAGTGAGAGGATTCACCAGAGACAGAGTGGGGAGCAGAACAGGCCGACTTATGTTAGCTTTGACTTTGCCAATGGTAATTCTTACTATGCATTTTGTAATTTAGGCAGCTGAATCTATCAGTTTTTTCTTTTATGGCTTCTGACTTTTGAAGCACACTTAGCTCTTCCTCCTGTTATAGTATAAAATTCCATTTTCCTGTTAATTCCAGATTTCTAGATATTTATGCTTTTTTCTTTTATTTAAATATTTGATCCATCTGGAATTTATTTTGGCATCAGACAAGTATAGATCTAAATTGTTCTCTCACTTGACTATCTACTTGTTCCATTATCAAACAATCTATTTTCTGTGTTCTGGTTTCAGATGATTGTCTTATACTTGAAGTTGAATGAGAACTGTATTTCTTATTCAGCACTGTATACTCCTGTGACAACATGTGGTA